AACTGAACACCGCCCCCCCCCCATGGATTGCGGTTTTCTCACACCACCCCGCTCGCTGCCTTGTGTATCAGGCTTTGGCTAGCCGAAGGCTCCGGTTGCGGATTCCTCAAGAAAATCCACCTGCCTTGGTCTGGGCAACCTGACAGTATTCCGCCCACATACAAATAATAGAACGTTTACTTCTTCGTAAAGGTTATTGCACCATGATTTATTTCGCACAGTCTGTCCCCAGATGAGTGTGAATCATAATGTATTTTATACTTATCTGCTGTATGCCCTCCAATCATGGGACTCCCCTTTCTTAAGGTTTAGTAAAAAATTTGGAACTCAGTAACCGTATTCATTTCACAGTTGTTCGTCATACTAGTCAAAACTGTAAGGGTTATTGGACGATTCCATCGCTCTCCTATGGCTAAATGTGGTGTCAGTTGTATGGACGTCATAATCTTTATTTTGTTCACATAAAATCACACAATTCCTCTGTCCACATGGTTCAAGTACATGATCAGACTACAGAGGGGCATAAGTGTCAACCAGTTTGTTAGCTCTTCATGCTCCCGTATTCGCTTCCTCCGGACTGGAACCTGAGGCAACCACCGGACTGTGATTCCTAGATGTGGAATTTCGTTTCAGCTGAGCATTCTCTGCTTCAAGCTGTTCCACCTTTTGCCGCAGCTCTGCCAGTTCGACACGCATTGCTTCAAATTCTGCTGGATCCGGTCCGTCCGCCTGGAGGTGTTTCTTGATAAACCTTAACAGGCAGTAAGAAATGCTTTAGTTTTTTGAGGGAGGAAAAAACTGTCTGAAAAGCTTGGGTTATCAGAAGCAGAACGCTCAGGTTGATACATATTCCCTTCTTATCTAAGAGTTCTTCTAGCTTAACGAGATAATGCTCGTAAAACATTGGTGTTTTGTTTTGTATTTGAGTACAATTGTCGGGTTGAACAGTTTCATGAACACGATCAGGGATGGGATGAACTTGACAATTTTTTTTACTTAAGTGGATCTGTGACTGTCCAGTGGACTCTTCAGCTGTTTCCTTTTTTATGAAACACGTGTATGATAAACAGCAGGCGAAGTAGACCCCATAGTCACTCATGGTAACCAGCAACCCACATAAGATCCCGCACGAAATTAGGTGTGGTATTCAACGCCTCTCAAGACTGTTACGGCAAAAAACACCAGTCCAATAAAATTTCGAACTCAAAAACATAAATAGGATTTGTCAGACATCTTTGAACCAACTAAAATTGCTGCAAACAGTTCTTAAAAGGTCTAAGCGTTAGATATCATGCGCTCGATGCACTGACATGTTCCTCAAAAGTGCTGCTTGTCGATGTAAGCGAGCAAGATCGAAGTGGCGAATCCAACAGTTTGTGAGATCCTACGCTAAAAAGTGCAAAGGTAATGGTACCAGAAACCAAAACCGAACTTCATACAAGTGGACCATCATCTGCAACTGTGCTTGTGTCAGTCCAACATGAGATTTGTGCTATCCCTTCTCAAACTGGGGTTCGCAGCACCAGAAGTGATGGCAAGAATAGTACAAATCTCCCGCAGGTTTCAATCCCAAATGACTGTAGCGATCTTTAAGTTGTGATTTGTTGAGCTCTTAGGGCGAAACGCTGTTAGTCTTCAGCGCTCAGCCTTTGTACTTGGTGTTTTCAAACAGGATGATGGCAGAAAAAGACTATGCTTGGCTTTTCACAAGCAAAATTAGGCGTACCATTAGTTTCAATTGTGCTACTTTTCTATGAAGGGACATCTGTCCCACAATCATTTTGTGGAACAATCTGTCCGACATGCATTGACAAATTGTTTTTAATATGAAATGTATGCTAGCTTTGTCCGCTGTTATGCTGTTTACTAATTGTCTGCAATGTCCAAAGGAATTCGGTTCGTATGGTTTTTCAAATGGACGATCATTTGAAAATGAGCCCTGATCAAAAACGTACGATCACGTCACTTCGGTTGATCGCGGCGTTCTCATACAAGCAGCACGTCCAATTGAGTTGCCGTGCTTTGAAGCGAAGACCACCAAGTATGAGATCTAAATGGTTTTAGTTTCCTCGCAAATAAAATGCACGTAAATAATTAAGACGAAAAAACTCTCACATCCCATTCAAGTGGTGTAGATGTCAACTCACTCTAGCGCGTTGTCCGGTTTTGACGGTTCCTCATAAAGACCGACAAGTACTGTTAACCAATGGAGAACACATTAGGGGTTTCATTTCAAAGATACTCGAATTGTGTACCTCTTGTCAGCGAGTCCAAAACACCAGCTTTCTCTAAATATTTTCTGAACTCTTCACGCTTCGAGTCCCCAGCCTTTGTTCGAACAGAATAAGATTGCAAAAGATCATAACTTACTTTGTATGAAGACATCAGGAGAATATCACAAGTGAATAAGGCTGAGACAGAATATCTGAAATATGGAAAATCGGTGTCACTTGGTTGTTACTGGATAACTTGAAATATTCTATCATGACAAATGTATAGACCAAGTGCTAGAACTAGATCATGATTCAAGCTAACCTTCAGGATAGTAAAGAAACGAAGAAAGCGAACTAGGATAGAAATGGATAAGATCAGGAAACGGTTTGTAAAAAACAATGAGAACAAGAGCAATTGTGGTTTGTCTTTTACTATAGACTTCTGCATGTGCCAAATTACTTCTCAGCGATTTTCTGTAACGTCCAAAGTTGACGAAAAGACGCACCGTGATCCAAACCAGTGACCGCTGCATTTGTATCTAATTTGATAATTGTAGAGTTGAACAACAAAACAATCAACTGCGCTCCGAGACTACAACTTCCCAGTTTTATACAAACTCTGTCTCAAAAAACCCTTAGATCTCTATTGAGTCCTCATATTAAGTCCTCCAGATTCAACTTCATTCACGCTTCCCATCCCCCACAAACCTTCATCTGGCAACTGCGGTCCTGTAGGTACTTAAATTACAGTTGTGATCAAGTTTGACGGCTCGTTTCTAGGACGAGAGAAAATCTTAGTCACCCAACATGCTCCACATGAAATCACAATCCCTCTCTGTCTGCGCACGACTTTTTAGGTTGCTGGTGAGAACAAAAAAATCTCGTTCCTCAGATGACTGTCGGACCACGGTACTACCAAAACCGTTGCTTGTGGTGAAACTGTCTTCCATTTCTCATCTGGACACATTTTGAGATATTCACCGGCATCCCCACACGCTCGACCAGTCCAGCAGGGCATTCGGGTCCTCTTGAAGAGACTCTTGACGTCCTTCAGACCGTTTTGTGCGCCAGAGCTTGAGGTCGTCATCGTAGATTAGGCACAAGCTACTCTAAGTCGATGGTATGTCGCTCGCAAAGCTCAGAAACAGCAGTGGACTCAGTTCACTTCTCCCATTCGAAACAACCACCTTGACGTAATCTGCAAAAATGTAGCACCAAGAGGTCAGTGCTTGGCACGTCGTTTATGTGGACAAGGAACAGAAGTGGCCCTAATACTGAGCCTTGCGGAACTCCACTAGCCAGCTGAACCTTTTCTCGCCAACCGTCACATAGTATGGTCGATGTGAGAGAAAGGCACTTATCCATCTGTGCAACCGGTTTTGAATTCTGAATCGTTTTAATTCAGTCAACAACAGGCTATGATTTACTGAATCAAAAGCCTTGTTGAAGTCCAGGTGGCAAACCTCTACGGATTTACCTTCGTCTACTTTTGTATTAATATTCTCCAAGAAGCACAGAAGGTTTATTAGGCATGCGCGTTGCTTAGCGAAACTATTTTATGCTTCTGTCATCAGTATGTTCTGCTTCAGATGTTTCACTAGGTGTGTCCTAACTAAATTTACTAGTCTCTTACTTAACACACTAATTAAACTAACAGGATGATCTTTTTTAACACCCGTCCTTCCCCCCCCCCTTGTGGAAGCTACTACAGAAGCCTGTTTCCAATCAGACAGCAACCCGTTTCCGCTATCGAGGCCCTAAAATGGGTGCATACCGGTCCTACAATGATATCAGTAATGAGCTTGGTGATCGCTGGGCTGATTCCATCTGGCCCCGCAGACTTGGATACCATAAAACCGCCTAACACCTCTGATACTTGATTTACTTTTACCCATATTTCCTCCACTATTTCTATGACCGACGGTTGAGAAGCTCTTGTCTCACCAGTATCTAAACTTTGCACGCTACTGACGTAAGCGCAGAATGCATCAGCCTTACTCTAGTTTCGGTTATAAACCTATTTCCCTCAAGGATCAGTGGATTCATTTCCTCTCTGGTAGTGTCCTCTGATTGGCCATAGTTTTACTATCTCCCTAGCTCCAGCTTTCCTTCTGGGGCCAATTCCATTTTGATGATTTTCGTTTTCTTTTCACTAGGTTTACCACTTCATTTCTGTGGCGGGTGAACTGAGCTCATAACTTTTGAGTGCCGGTAATCTGGTACGCTCGCGAACTGCAGTACCTGATGGCCTGGCGACTGAAGCTTGCCACCACATTGATTTTCACTTATGCCTCCTATATCTTAATGTAACAAATAGGTCCTGGAGGCTAACGAGGTTGTTTGATCAACAACCAGCATTCCTCAACGCCTATGGCGTCTCGTTTGGGGATCCAATGCATTTGTGCGAATTTTTCAAACACTAAACCTTGTGGCTTATCGTAGTCCTTAATAGACTTCTATCATATAACTATTACTGCTGCATTAATGTCATACGCTACTGCCAAGAGTTCTATCCACCTTTTTCTAAAACTGTAGGTGTTGGTGACAAGAAACCTACTGCTTCCTGTGGATGGTGTTTTTGAATCTACTCATCTATCCTCGGCCCTGGGCACAACACCCAAAGGGATAGCCCATTCCTCGCAGACCTCTCCCACGCGTGCAGCATTCTGAGGCCTATTCGGCAGTCTTTCAACCGGCTCACGATGGACACTTTTAGACTGTTGGTCTGTTCCCAGTTGCGTATCGGCGCATTATGGGAGATCTCATCTGTATCAGGAAGATCCTGAGAGGTGATATTAGCTCGGAGCTGCAACAGTACTTCCCTTTACGGACAGAGGACCGCACGCGGGGGCACACTCACGTTGCGGAAACTTCGGTTAGTTGGTCTTACGTTAGTCTACCGACTCTCGCAGAAGTGAACAACATCCTGGAATTCCTTTCCAGCGACCGTGGTAGAGGAGAAGACATGTTTTCTCAGCGTCTGCGAACGCTGCTTTCAAACGGCGTCTGGATGAGCATCTGAAGGAACGAACACTTGTGATCGAAACTCCGACTCAGTGATGATGGGGCTTACACGGGCACCCTACCCTCTGCCCTCAATACTGAAGACTGATTACCACATGCTTTCAACATTAATTTTGAATGTTGATGCAATTATAAGGTTAATGATTTCTAGAGTAATTGCGCGATCAAAGTTAGGAAGTGTGGAGCAATTCTCAGGCAGCACGGGTGTACACTCGAGAGTCACCGTTGAGTCACAAGGGGGACAGGTCATCGAACTACAGATTTTTACGAATTAACTATTCGAAAATCGGATTCTATGTGTAAAATTACTTGAGAAATTTTCAATTTTTTCAATTACTCTATGCGTATTGAAGAGAAACAAAGTTAATTTTATGATAATTCTACTTTTAAATGAGCTATTTTACATCAGTCCCAAAGTTAAATTCGAAGTTTTGCGAAAATATTGTATTTTACTTACTCCTGGATATTTAAATTTTGATAGAATGATATTTCGTGAATTTCATTATGTTGCATTGCAGGAACAAAAAAGCAATGGGTGTTAGTAAACAGAACAATTTTCGGTTTATAAAGTAAGTTTATGCGTTAAAATGAATGTCGTAATTGACACAGCAGTAGCTTTTCGGAATGATTCATTAATGAATCATTGTAAGCATAGGTAGGATTAAATGAACTGCACATCTGATAACTTTTGCATAGGCAGCGAAGTGCCTATAAGAAAACACGATAATTCGAAGCGAATTGTTATTATTTACTTTTATTCAGTGGCTAAGTGCTTAAATCGCTGAGTTGTCAATTGAAATATGGCTACCAATTTTTTATTTACCCCGGCAGTCACAGAGCTTGTTCAAAAGGGTACGCAACGGTGACTGCCGGTAACTCAACGGTGACTGTCGTGCTAATTGGGTTGATAGTGGGAAAAGGTCGGACTGGACTGCGCAATTTCCTCTCTAGGATATTTCACTTTGATCGGTCTCGAAGTTTTAAAGAACCAGGATTAAAAAATTAGGGGCCTACGCAGTTCAATGAAACACCACTGTAGTGGTTTTTCCGTGAAAATAGCATTCGGAAAGTACAAAGATTAGCCGTGCAAATTTTTTTTCGAGAGTTACTGAAAGTCACCAATCCGTTTCGATGGGTACTAATCGGTGACTCTCGCGTGACGAAACGGTGCGTTTTCGGTGAACAAACGGTGACTCTCGTGCTAACTGGGAATGTCTATGGAGTGAATGATAGAAAAATGCAGCAAATCACAAATAACGTTCATTCGGCTAGTGCACCAGCAGAAAAATAAAATGCAACTTTGCGTGTGTTTCGTGCGAAAAAAGCCCGAGTGTGTTAGCAGGGATAACTGTAACACCATTAATTGATGCAGTGACGGTAAAAAAGCACTTTCGGGAGTATAATATCAGGTTTAACATGAAGTACTGTTGACCGCACACAATGAAGCTTCCAAGATTTCATATTCAGAGCAGTAATACTCTAAATAAGCCTGCTCACACAATCACATGGGCAGGTTTCACGCAACGTTGTGCGAACCGGTCAGTTTTAGAGAACCACCGTGGTTGCTCAGAGATCGGTCAATCTCGGTGGCGGGGAAAACGAATCGAGAGTATTATAACGAATACCCTGCCACTTGTTGTTGAAATTTATTGAAACACTAGTAGCCTGAGCACCACAATCGAAGACCCGCGGCGTTCCTGTGACCAGACAACGTTGCATAACGTAATCATTTCGTCCATTAAAACAAAACATTCCGTAGGTGCGCCTGAGTCAACTCATTGTAATAGAATGAATCGCAGGCTTCTCACTACTCCATACAGTTTCTGGCCTCTGCTGAAAATCACTTTAAATCACCGAACAAACAGTGGACAATAACCCGACACGCTTATTGGTAAGCGGATATGGGTTGGAGCAACAGCCCAGTGTCTCACTGTGACGAAACTGTTTTTCGCAAGTGGTTTGCCCTGTGTTTACCTGGGTTAGTTCACCTATCTTGAGGCCCACTAGCTCTTAACTTGAGATGTGATTGACCCTTTCTTACCACACTCCAATCATTCCATAACAACAAATAGGCATGGGTAAAGGTGCTTCACGTAAACATCCTGTGAAACGAGCAGTGACTCGTATTTCTAACCGAGCAGACCTTTG